GTAGTTTTTAATGCAGTTTCATCTCAGACAGATTTCTGTGTTCGTGCCGCTGTGTGAGAAAGAACGGGCGCACAAAGGGAACTGAACGTGTTCATTTATTTAACGAGCTTCTATACTGTCAATCACCGAGTATCTCATGACAGTTTACAAAGTTTGCGTGTGCCTCGGTCCCAGGGTGGAGGAGGCAAGGCCGGCGGACGGGGAGGAACCGGGCTTAGACTGGCAGAGCTGCCGGGATCAATTTCCCCGGGGCCCCCCCCCCTCCGGCGGTTCTGGCCTGCAGCCCGCGGCCCCAGCTGGCATTGCCCCGGCGTGGGGAAGGGGGTCGCGAGCCGGACTGCCGTCCTCATGGGCTGCCGCACCAATGTGAGAGAGAGTCGTTCCCGAGGGTTTCGGCGGGAGACGGTCAAGTCAGGGCCGCAGAGTGCCTCGGGGCGCTCTAAGGGCAAGCTCTGGCGTTCGGGGGGCTTCCATGGACCCTCGCCCCTTCCTCAAGCGCTCCCGGGGCACCTGCGAGGGGTGCAAGCACGCGGGCAGCGAGGCCAGGAGGAGGCCCGGGTGCGCTGGGTGGCGGCACCGAGCTGCGTGTGGGGCCGCTCTGGGGGGCGTCCACGGGCTGGGCGGCCCCCGCTGGCGGGGGGTCTGATCACGTAGCGCCTCCGCTGCACCGGTGGCCGTTCCCAGGCCCTCAGCTGGCTGGCAGCCCAACTGCTGGAGGGACCGCCTGCCCCGCTGGCAGCCGGGCGTGGAGGGCGCCCCACCCCGGGCCGCCCTTGGGGGGGCCTCCCTGCCGCAGCCCCGCGCCCGTTCGCTCCGCAGGCCCCAGCGGCGCCTCTCTGCGGCGGGGCCCGGCCGGAGCTGCGCTGCCGTTGCCAGGGGGCGGTGGACCGGTGCAGCGCCGGCCCTGGCCGAGCGCTGCCCCGCGGCGTGGGGAGCCGCGGCCCGAGCCCCGCAGGCGAGCCCCCCGCCCGCCGCCCAGTCGCAGGTGCGGCGCCGCTGCTGCTGCCCGCGCAGGCCCCGAGGCCGCGTCCGCGGGGCTCCGGCGCCCCCTGCCGCCGCCCCTGCGCACTGCAGCGTCCGCGCCGAGAGGAGAGCGGCGGAGGCGAGCGGTCCCCCCGGGAGCGCCCCGCCCGGCAGTCCCGGGAGGCGCGGCCGAGGAACGAGCGAGCAGCCTGAACTCCCAACAGGCTTCCGCCAGGGCCAGGGCGAGGGCGGAGGGGAGCCCCTGCCCATGGAAAGAGTTGGATCCCGGCCGCCCCCCCCCTTCAGGAAGGCTTCGAAGCCCACCCGGAGGGGCCTCTTGCTGCCGGAGGGCCGGGGTATGGAGACCTCCGGCTTGGCTTTCCCGTCCTCCCGACTGGGTCAAGGCCAGGCCCGCTCCTGCCCCCTCCCTGCCAGACAACGCCCCCCCCCCCCCCCCCCCAAGCCCCGGCCCCCCCCCCCCCCCCCCCCGCCCCCCCACCCCCCCCCCCCCCATCCAGAGCAGGCCTGAGCCTTCCCCAGCACCCCGGGAGCATCCAAGCCCTGCCCCCCCGCTCCGGCTCCTCCACTGCCACCCTCCCCGGATCAGCACGTCCACAAGAGAGATGGGGGCTGGCTTCATGCCCCCCCCACTCTCCATGGGCAGGAGCCCGGGGTCCCAGCGACATTGGACCCCAGCGCTGGCAGGCCTTGCCCTCTCCTCTGCCCCCCCTGCTGGCCCCGACTCTTCCTGCCCGAGGCTCCACCTGAGCCCCGTGCCTCCCCCTCCCCTTTTGGCCGGTGGGCACCCTGGGGAGCAGGGCCCTGCTGCAGACGCCCCACGGACAGCAGGCCACCCTTCGGTCTTGGGCACAGATGATTCTGCAGGGGGACCCTTGACCTGCGACAGAAACCGCGGGGGGGGGGGGGCCCAAGTTAAAAAATTTCAAAGTGCAATGGGAAGCCCATGGGGGGGGGGGGGGGGTTAAGAGCACGGCCTGGGGCTCGGCCCCTGTGCCTCTAGTCCCCGCTCAGCCATGGGGCCCATGGGGTGACTCTCGGCCCAGCCTACTCCACAGGGAGGTTGTTGTGGGGATACGACGGGGAGCTGGGGGAGGTGAGCAGCTCTGAGTTCTTTAAAAAAGCAAAGAGGTGGGAAACGCGCCTGATGCAGAGGAGAGAGGTGGCTCCCAGGTGGATGAGACGAAGGCCAAGCCTTCTCCGGCTGCTCCCTGCTTGGCCGGGGAAAGGGCCCAGGAGGGGCGCTCGTTCCCCACCTGCGCGCAGGAGGAAGCGCCCCCATCCCAGCCCTCGTGCATGAGCTGCCCTCAGACTCAGGGCTCCGGCCTGGGGGCTTGCCATGCCGTCCCCCCCCCCATCTCTGCTGGGACGCTGCTGCCCTCTCCGCCCAAGCCGCTTCTCTTGCTCTTCTCTCCTACCTTTCTCCCGCCCTGTTGGCTGGAAGCTTGGGCTTCCCCCTCTCGGCTTTCTCCTCCGTCCTCTGGTCCTCTGCCCCGGCAGTCCTGCTCCAGCGGCGCCCAGGCTGCTCTTTCATCACACAGAATGGCTGAAATGCGGCATTTTCTTTCAGTTGCCCTAGCGGGAGCTTGAAATGGGCTTTCTCTCTTGCGCCTCTCAGTCGTGCGGCCCCTGCTTCTCCAGCCTTGCCGGCCCCGCACCTGCCTCGGCCTCTCCACCCCTCTCGCCTCGCCAGCAGCCAGGCCAGGTCACCCCTCCAAGCCTCCCGGTGTCCCCCAGCCTGCTCCTTCGCTCACAAGCGGCTGCCCCCTCGTGGGGCTGGAAGGATGCTGGGCCGTGCCTGGCCTCTTTCGAGGCTTTCGGGCTCTCTGGGGTCTTCCGGTGCCAGCCAGGTCCCATTTTGCACTACTAGAATCCTAGAAGAGTGGGACGGGGCCATGAAGGCCATCGAGTCCACCCCCTGCTGTTGCAGGACACCAGGTCACGCCATCCACTCAGGGGGCTGCCCCACCTCTTTCCGAAGGCCTCCAGCGAGGGAGAGCCCCGCCTCTCCGGGCAGCGGCTCCCGCTGTCGCGTTGCTCCGGCCATGAGGAAGCTCCTCCTGAGCTCCAGCCTGAATCTTGGTTGCCGCAGCTTGAATTGATCTTGAACCCCCCCATCGTCCTCCTCCTCACTGGGGGGGTTCGCCCTTTCCATTCCCTGGCTTGCGGCAGCACCTGGCATTTCCCTGCACAGTGCTCAGGTGCTGATCCTGACCACTTCTGAAGATGCCTTTCTCCAAACAGACTCAAGGCCCACTTGCAAGATCGGAACAAGCCACTTGGGAAGCGGAGCAGCGATGATGCAGCAGAGCGATCGGTTTGGCGGATGCACGACGGAGCCTGCCCTCGAGTGCCATCAAGAGGAAGGCTTGGCTTCACTCCAGAGAGGGGGTGCGGCTGGCTGGGGCGAGCCTTCCAGGATGGGGGCACCGCTGAAGAGGGCTTGCTGCGCCCCTCAGATCCTCCTTCAGAGGCAGCATCCGTGTGGAAGGGTCTCTGCGGTTGCATCCTGGGAGAGGCCTGAGGAGGGAGAGGCGACGGGCCGGCCCGGGGGCCTTGTTGCCACGAGGCTAGGAGGGAGCAGCGTCTGCCACAGCCCAGGAGCATAGCCCCCCCCAGCCTGGGAACAGAGGGGGCCTCGACAGTCAACCAGACCCCCTTCCTGGATGCAGGTCCTCTCCCCCGCTCGGCTCCCTTCCCCTTCCCCTTCCCCCACCATCGGTCCAATTTCAGATTCAGGCTCGGCTCCTCAGGGCACCGACCTGGCCAGCAACCTGGCCAGCTGCTCTTTGCGAGCGACTCGGCAGGAGAGACGCAGCGGGGCGGCAGCATGTCGTGCAGCGATGAGAGAGGCGGGGGCGTCGTGCGCAGGCCGCCCGGGTGTGCTCCCCACTCCGCCACGGAGCCACTCGGCGACTTTGGGCCTGGCACGGACTCTCGGCACAGCCCACCTCACAGGGTGGTTGTTGCGGGGAGAAGGCGGCGAGCAGAGGAGAGGCACGTGAGCCGCTTTGAGCGGTTTCTCAGAAAAAGGGCAGGCTGTAAATCAAATCGGGCCGGCACAGCATGCCACCCGCCCCACAGTCCAAGATAAATTTGGGAAGGGGCTCGCCAGGGCAGTCACCCCTGTGTGTGCCCAGGAGTCACGGCTAGTCTGTGGGAAGCGAGAGCAAGCCCGGGACCCTTCGGTGACGCCCGTCTCCCTGAGGCTGCAAGCACAGCCCCCCCAGCATCCCCTTCGGGAGCCCCTCCCTGGGGAAACGATGCACGAAAGCCGACGCGTGTGGACAGATTTTGCACTCTCTGGCCACGCGGACACGCCAGAGCCCCCGCACGCCCTCCCACCAAGGATCCCCGCGGCGCACGTGAGCATTTCACCGTGATAAACGTTTCCCCTGCACAGTCCCCGGGAACTTCAAAAAAAGCGATCGGGCAGCGGGCAGCCTGCGGCTTGTGCGCAGCTCTTCGTGGTGCCGACTCGGGTCCCTAAAACGGGTGCAGCACCACGGACGGTCTCTTCGGGGGTCAAACTGGGATCCGCCCCCGGCTGGCCCTGGAGCGTGCGAGGCGGTTTCTGGCCGCCCACATGCAGGTGGGGTGGATGCAGGCCAGGTGCCGAGGTCTTGCCAGCCCGTCGGTGCCGGGGAGAGGGAGGCCCCGGGGAGGGACTCATGCCGGGAGCCGGCCTTCGGCTGCCCCCACCAACTGGATAAATAGCACCTTCCGGGGCTCCATTTCCGGCATGGAGCAGGCGGTGGGAGTGGCAGACGGGGCGTGGGGGAGCCCAGCTCTACTCACTGTTCAGCCACGAAGCCCCCGGGCCCAGTGCTGAGCTGGTCTGCAGCCCCCCCCCCCCCAGCTCGGGCTGCCTCATCTCGGAGGAGCTGCGGTCCCCCCAGGCCCGTCCCGCTCGGCAGCGAGCACGGTGGGCCTTGTGCAGCCCCCTGGCCGCTCCTGGGGCCCCACTCGCTTCCCTTTCCGCTTCGGGATCCTGGAGGCCTCCCCCCGCACTGCCTGGGATGCCGCTGAGAGGGCCGCCCCCCGGACTGACCCCAGCGCGTGCCCTCGGCCGGAGCGTCTCCTCGTGGCTCCCAGCTCCGCTCTGGGAACTCACTCCAGCAACGGCCCATAAAACAGGGCAGCTGCAGCCGAGCGCGGGCAGAGTGCGCTGCCACGGGCCAGGGGCCACGGCGTGGAGCCGGGAGCAGAAGGGATTCAGCCCGAAAGGTGGGCAAGAGAAGAGGCAGGTGCGGGGGGTGCGCAAGATCCAAAGACGGATTATAGAAAAGGAAGAACAAGAGAATATGCGGATGGAAGGGGTAGAAAGCAAAATTGGTAAGCTATTATTGGAAGAACAGCATCCGTGTGATTTGCTTAAAGCAACATGGGAAACCGATTTGAGAAAGAAAATTTGCACTGAAGATTGGAAAATGTTTGGACAAAGATTATTAAAATGTATGTCAGTAAAAATAAAAAAAAATCACCCTAACCCTAAATATTTTTAAAGTGAAGTCAAATAGTTAACTATTAAAATACTGGGCCAATAAGAAGATTTTCATCCAGTGCTAAAGGAAAAAGACTCATCTCTCCACAAAGTCCCTCACGGAAGACCCATGAGGAGGCTTGGCCGACGTGGAATTAGAGGGGAGGTCGGATGAGTGGTTAAAGCGTAGAAGAAGAGAGCGGGAGTGGGCGCTGGGGTTTTTCGCAGTTGGACTCCCACGGGGATCTGTGCCGATTCTTGACTTGCTCCTCAGTTTTCTGGAACTGGGAACGAGCCGCGAAGGAGCCATGCTGACCTTCAGGGCTGCTACAACCGGAAAGGCTTGCGAGGGGCCCCAGAGGGTCCCCTCCGGGCCGGGGGAGCAGGCGTCCTGGTGGCCTCGTTGGGAAAAGGATCCAGGGGCCGGAGCTGTGAGGAACGGCTGCAGCAGCTGGGAAGTTCAGCTTCGGAAAAAGTAAGGAAGGGGGGACGCGATGGAGGGGTTCAAAATTCTGCATGCGGTGAAGGGTTTTTTCTCCCCGTCTCGTGACACTCGAACCCAGCATCTTGTGATGCTGACCGAGGGGCCGAGTGGCAGCTGACGGCAGACCTAAAATGTGGAATCTGCTGCTGGAGGAAGTGGTCCTACGGCAGCCCCCGGGGTCGAAGGCCCCCCGAAACACCCCACCCCCCGGCAGCCCCGCTCGGCTCTGGCAAATGGAGGGCTGGGAGCTTCTTTATGGAACTGATCCAGCTCCTCTTTGGGGTGTCCCGCTGCACGTCTGGCAGACGTCCAGGGCACACAAGGAAGAGGCTGGCTGTTTCGGCTGGACCAACGGCCCAGCGTCCAAGCACAGGGGGGGGGGGATCCGGCCTGTCCCGGCAGGGCTGGCGGCTCGGCTCTGATGATGAGATGATTGCTGAAATGAGCCCAGCTCCAGCCGTGGCCCAAGGCCCTGGGTGCCTGCCGGGGAGGCCTCGGGGGTAGAGCCCTGCTTCTCTGGCCGGCTCCCGGTCCAGGCCCTGCTGCTTCTCCAGGTGCGGCAGGCAACGCGCCGCTGGCCACTGTCAGCCGTTTGGGGTCGGCTGGGCCGCAGGGGGTTGGGGGGGCACTCAGCCTCAGCGGCTTCCCACCTTGTGAAGGCTCTGGGTCTCCCCAGCGGAGCAGGGCCCGACCGAGTCGCAGCCGCTCTGGCCTCCTGCTCAACATGTGGGTGCCCAATCTTTCCTCGAACACCCGCACCGATGGGGCCTCAACCACCTCCCAAGGAAGCCCGTTCCACACCCTCGGGGCCCCATCCGCCAGCAAGTCCTTCCTGGCATCCAAGCTGCAGCCCGGTTCCTCGAGCTTTGCCCCACTGGAGCGCGTCCGGCCCTCCGCTGCAGGGGAGAACAGCTCAGGGCCCTGCCCCACAGGACACCCTCTCGCACCCCCAGAAGCCGCTAACAGGCCCCCTGGGGGTCTCCCCTCCTCCAGCTGGAGAGACCCCGCTCCCTCCACTCTCCTCCCAGGCCAGCCCTCCCAGCCCGGCTCCCATTCCTGTGCCCTGCGCTGGGCCGATCCCGACCTGGCTGTGTCTCCCCACGATGGGGAGCCCAGAACGGGACGCGGTGCTGCAGCTGTAGGCGTGCCGGTCACCCAGGGCGGCGTCAGCACCTCCCTCGGTCGGGAAGCGGCGCTTCTCACGCTTCCAAGGGTGGCGTTTGTTGCAGAGCCAGCTTGGTGAATTAACACACAGCATCAATTTAAAGGCTTCAACAGTACCAACTACCCCTGTTCAAAACGTTCAAACACACTTTCCAGCCAGCCGGAGACCGGAGGGCGCATCCAGGTCTACGGAGAGGCGCGAGAGGAAGCAAACAACGTGGATGAGGTCGGAGGAGCTGCCCCGGAAAGTGCAGGGAGGGCTGGCCACATCCTCTCGCCCACCCCCATGGCCACGCTGCGGCTGGCTCTGCCCTCCTGCTCCGGAGCCGACAGCTCCATCCTCACGTGTGGCAGCTCCCAGAACTGCGCCGTGAGCCTGAGGCCGGCCCTCGCTCGTACCCCCAGCAGCGGCCGCAGAGGGCCCTGAGGAGCGGACAGGCGGGGAAGGGCCGGGAGAAGTCTGGGGTGAGGCCGTTGCGCTCGTGTCCCACGGAAAGCTGGTGGGCCTCTGTGCGACAGACCCCGGGCCCAATCCAGCACGGCCCCCTCTGCACTGCAGCACAGCCTTTCCCAGCGGACTCCTCCGAGTGCCTACACAGCAGACTGGGGGGGGGGGGGCTCGAGAGCAGGCGTGTCAAGCCTCAAGTCTCCCGTGGCCGCGCCTCGCTTCTCGCACTCTTTGGAACCCGCTGCCGCCCGGCATGGGCCGGGCAGCTGTGGAAGAGCTCAGGCAGGCGGGAGAAGGAGAGGGGGCCGTCTGTCCACGGCTGTCACGCACACCCTCCCGATGCAGCCGCCCCAGGACCGTGCGGGAGGCGAGGGACCAGCACTCGGCTGTGCGACGCAGACGCCTGGCCAAGCCACGGACCCTCGGCGGGAGGGCCCCTCTCTGGGGGAAAGGCTGCTTCGCTTCCTGTGGGTTGCGGGAATTCTGTGGGCACAGAGCTTCTGACGACGTGGCCCTGGACATCCCGAGTGGCAAAGTGGGCTGGAGGGGATGACTGTCAGGCGGGTCCACGCTGAGTCCCCAGCAGACCCAGAGAGGTCAATCCTCCGACTGGCAAGCACAGGGCACCCCGGGGCTTCGTCAGTGGTGCGGGAACAAACCGCTGATCGAATTGGCAGCTGGCACAAGCGTGGCTGGGGGGCGGTCACGCCCCGGGAGACGCAGAGCCGTTCTGAAGTGTCCTGGGCAGGCTGGCGCGCCGGGTGGAAAGCTGCAGGAGTGCCGGCTTCGGCAACTAGGAAAAGGGAGCCAAGAGCGCCCCTGGGGGACACCCGGCCCAGCGGCACTGCCAGTGGGAAGGGTCTCGGGGCCGTTGTGGATCGTAAGCTGCAGACGAGTCTGCTGTGTGATGTGGCTGCAAAGAGGACAGATGCTACTCTGGGCCGCACTGACAGAACCGCCATTTCCAAATGCCATGAAGTGTCGGGCGCCCCAACTGCAGTTCTGGGCATCACAGTTGAAGAAAGATGCAGACAAGGGGGAAAGGGGTCAGAGGGGGACACCAAGGATGATCTGGGACTGGAAACAAACCCCCAAAAGGAGAAATGGAAGGAACTGGGCCTGTTTAGCCTGGAGAAGACGGAGGGGAGACAGGAGAGCACCCCGCAAGTACGGGAAAGGCTGTCCCAGAGAGGAAAGGCCGGGATCTCTTCTTGACCATCCCGTGGAATGATGGGCTCAAGCGACAGGACACCAGGTTCCAGCTGGGCCTCAGGAAGAACTTCCTGACTGTGAGAGGAGAGGCAGT